CCAGGGCTGGAGGTCACTTTCCCTTAAGGTTCCAGACTCACAGTTGAGCCCGGTGTATCTTCCTCCTGCCCCCAGCACCCTCTTCAGCTCAACCTGCATTAAAGACCCCAGGGAGGTCACAGCCACTGCGTGGAGCCACCCTAGGGGCAGCTGGCCTGCTCAACCCGATCCTGGCCCTGAAGGGGGTGGCCCAGCAGGGAGAGCCAGCGGGTCCTCACCACTGCACCACCTCATTTGGTTGTGTGGAGAGGGACAGCCGAACCTTGGGGGAAATGTGGGCTCCCCATATCTGTGCCTCCCCAGGGTCAGAGCAGGGCTCCCCTCTAAGAGAGCTGGACTGGGTTCCTTGCTATGCCACCAATAAACAGAGACCGTGGGTGTGTTACCCCCCACCTCATGTCCCCATCTGTGAAATGGGAGCATTGGCAATCCAGGCCCTCCTGGGTCCCAGGGCCGGGGGCTGGGGCTCTGTGACGGTGCAGTGAATGGACCACGTGTGGCCTCGGCTGCCTGCCCCCAACTGGCCACCAGCTCCTGGGAAATGCTGGAATCTTGCCTGGAGGCAAATGACCTCCACCCTCTGATGGATCCAGAACCCTCCTGTGGATCCAGGGCTCCACCTGCACTTTGGCACTTGCTGGGGACCGGGGGTTTCAGGGCCGCTGCCAGGGCCTCTCCTCTACACCCCTTCCCCATTCCGCGGTCTTGGCCAAGATCCCGGAATGGGGGGCCGGGAGGTCGCTTTATCATACTCTATGCTGCAGATGGGGAAACTGAGGCCAGGGACACGACACCAGCTCTCCACTGGGGTGGGGTGGAGCCAGAATGCACCTGCCAGCCTGTGCTGCCTACAAAAGGCTTCTACCTGCAGGGAGGGTGCAGGGACTCTAGGCCTGCACCGAACAACCCAAGTCTTGTTTATCTGGAGGCCACACTCTTGCACTGATTCTCATCCCTGTACCTGAGGCATGACCTTGGAGATGCTGTCAGGGGTCAGAAGCCCCGGAGGGAAATCCCCAAACCCTCGTCAAAGCCACCTGAAGCAGGGACGGTCAGGGGCCTGCTGAAGCTCAGACCCAAGGGGCACTGGCCCCACCAGCCCTCAGCAACCTCAGCACCCCTGTTGTCCCATCCTGCCTGGACAGTTGCCTGAGCTGGGGGCAGGACCGAGGCAGGGAGGGGGAGCATGTCCACTGGAACCCCCGCCCACCCACCAGCAGGCACCTCGGTCAGCCTGGGTCACCCTCATTGAGGGGGTGGAGGGTGGACCCCCGAGTGAGGGTTGAGATGGAGGCAGCTCCCAGCCAGAGGGTGGAGGGTGCCTTCCCCAAGCTCCAACAGTGCCCCCGTGTGGCCGCGAGGAGCGCTGCAGGGGGCTGCCAGGTCCTGCTCTTGTAGAAGGGAGGCTGGGCCTGGGGGTTTGGACAGCATCGAGGACCAGTGCTCAGTGGAAAATGAAAGATGTGTGTCCACGAGAGTGAAGGCGCGTGCCAGCATCAGCCTGCAGGGTTCTCCGCGCTCTCCACTTGCAAACGTTTTCACGTCCATTGTCCTGACCTGCATTGGAGGCTTCTGGCCTCCGCCTTAATGGGTGAGGAGGGTGAGGCTTGGCACCTCTGAGACTTGCTCAAGGGCACCTGCTGAGCAGCAGCGTTAGGACTGGGACTCTGGCCTTGGGCCCCCCACTCGCGCACAAGGGTGGTCACTGATGAGCCTTCCCAGTGGCGGCGTCTGGACTTGGCTCTGCTGCAGGTCTCCTCCCCTGTGTGCCCGCTCCCCAGCCTGGGCAAAGGGCAGGGAACCACGCAGCTTCTGGGCCGGGCAGCAGCCTCTTTCCTCCTGTCTCTGAGCCCAGCCATGCTGTGGCTGCTGCCTTTCCCTCCCGGTCCCTCCATGGCCCTCCCAGCAGCCCCAGGCGGGGTAGTCTGGCCTTGCCAGGAGCAGGCACAGCTTGAAGAACACATCTGAGGACAGGGCCTCCGGCCAAGTCCAGCCACCGGATGTCTGCTTGCCGTCCTTCCGCAGCCTGGCCCGCCGCAGAGAGGGCCTTGGGCCGGGTGGCCTCCTGCCAGGCTCCATTTCCTTAGGAAAAAGAGCTTCTCTGTGCCTGGGATAACACCTGGCCTCCAAAATGCTGTGTTTCAGCAACTGCTCAGTTTAAGTCTCCGTGTTTGTGGAGCACACTCTGGGCCTGGGCATCACCCAGGAGCGGGAACATGCCTCTGTGGGTGTCAGTTTGCTCTTCAGGTGATGATAAATCTAGGCTACCCCTGCAGGAAGGACCCCCTCCAGGCATTGAGGCAGGGACTGTGGATGGGGAGAGACAACTTCTCATTCCCTTCTATGCCCCCAACACAATGCCTGGCACACAGACAGGCTCCGTGCAGTGCACTGCTCAGAAGACTAAGAGCTCAGCGGGAGCTGCCTGAGGTCCGAACCAGTAACAGCAAAATGACTCAGAACAAGGAACTCGAGGAGGGCAAGGACACTGTCTTTCCTTTTTGTCCCTGTGTCCCTGGTGCCCACGCAGGCTTCCTGGGGGAGGTGGGATAAGACAGAACCTACCAGCTAGTGAACCTGGGCACTGTGTCCACGTGGAGGGAGCTGTGGAAGCAAAGGTGGAGGGGGTGTGTCTCCAGGGAGCCGCGCAGGGCCTGGGAGAGGGCCAGTGGGGATGGGGGTGAATGGGGTGGGGAGGAACCTGGAGCCAGACTGCGAGGGCCTCGAATGTTGTGTAGAGGATTGTGGGACGCGATCCTTGGACCACGGGGCTGGTAGGGGTTCCTGAGCGGGAGGATGGACCCGTGTCATTAGCACAGCGGCCCTGGCTATGCCTGACAAGACCTGGATGTGTCCTGGGAGATTTGGAGATGGGCTGAGCGTCTGCCTCTGGCTTGCTTGTGACAGTGTGGGGCTCGGTGATGGGCACTGTGGCCTGGCCACTTGGAAACCATCCACCGCTCCTATCCTGTGGTGGGGACTCTAGACTTGGCCCGTGGGGTCTCCTGAGTGATAAGCATGTCTTTTGTTGGCCTAGGACATGGCTGATGGCCAGGGCCCTGGATAGCCACAGAGTAGGGGCTGGTTACCAGAAAGACCAGGGCACGATTAGAGCATTGGTGCTTTCGGCCCCACACCCCGACATCTGGGGAGGGGAGAGGAGCTGTCTCTGGAGCCAATGATTAAATGAATGAACCATTTAATCATGAACCAATGGCCAAATGAACCAACGGCCAATGATTAAATGAATTTTGCCTACTTAATGAAGGTTTCATAAAAACCCCAAACCACAGGGCTGGGCAGGCTGGGTTGCTGAATACAAGGCAGTGCTGTGGGTGGTTGGTGTACCCAGGGGCCTGGAGGCTCCGTCCCTGCCCCCTATACCTTGACCCGGGCACCTCTCCCTCTGGCTGGTCCTGAGTTGTGTCCTTTATAATTAACTGGTAATCAAATGGGAAAGTCACTTCCAGAGGTGAGCTGTTCCAGCAAATTATCAAGTTGAGCAGGGAGTTGTAAGAACCCCTAATTCATAGCCGGTCAGACAGAATACAGGAGGCCTAGGACTTGTGATTGGCATCTGAGGTGGGGCAGCTTTATGGGACCGAGTCCTTAAACTGTGGGTCTGTGCCAGCTCTGGATGGTTAGGGTCCAAACTGGATTGAACTGTAGGACGGCTAGCTGGTGTCCAGACAGCTGGAGAATTGGCTGGTGTCAGGAGAAACCCACACATTTGGTGTGAAAAGTGGTGTGAGTAACAACAGTTTGGACAGATAAACCTTGCTTGGAGGGAAGTGCGTACATGAGAGAGGAAAAGAAGCAGGAAGGTAAGACGGTGTGGTTACTGTGGAAGACAGCGTGATGGATCCCCACAAAATTAAATGTAGACTCTCTGTGCGATCCAGCCATCCACTTCTGGGCATCTGCCCGAAAGAATTAAAAGTGGAGGCTCGAAGACATATTTGTACCCCGAGGTTCACAGGAAGCATTTTCACAACGGCCAACGGGCGGAAGCCATCCAGGCATCCATTCAGAGATGAACGAATAAACACAGTGTGGTCCCTTCATGAGCAGAACATTACTCAGCCTTAAAAAGGAAGGAAATGCTGGCACCTGCTACAACATGGGTGGACCTCGAGGGTGTCATGCTCAGTGAAATAAACCAACCACGAAGGGACAAATACCATCTGATCCACTTAGACGAGGCTCCCAGAGTCATCAAGTTCATAGAGCCAGAGAGTAGGATGGCGGGGGCCGAGAGAGTGGGGAATGGGGCATGAATGTTGAACAGGGACAGAGCCTCAGTTTGGGAAGATGAAAATTCTGGGGCTGCATGTGGTGGCTTACACCTGTAATTCCAGCACTTCGGGAAGTCGAGGCGGGCACATTGCTTGAGGTCAGGAGTTCGAGACCCTCCTGGCTACCATGGTGAAACCTTGTCTCCACTGAAAATGCAAAAAATAACTGGGCATGGTGGTGTGTGCCTGTAGTCCCAGCTACTGGAGAGGCTAAGGGCATGAGAATTGCTTGAAGATGGGAGGGCGGAGGTTGCAGCGAGCCGAGATCGCACCATTGCACTCCAGCCTGGGCGATAAACACAAGACTCTGTCTCAAAAAAAGTTCTGGACGTGGATGGTGGTGATGGTTGCTCAACACTGCGGATGTGCTTAGTGCTGCAGAATTGTTCCTAAAAATGGTTAAAATGGTCAGTTTCATGTTACGTATACTTTCCCACAATTTAAAGAAAAAAAATTTATTTTTATTTAAAAAAATTTTATTTTATTTTATTTTTTTGAGACAGAGTCTCGCTCTGTCTCCCAGGCTGGAGTACAGTGGCACAATCTTGGCTCACTGCCACCTCCACCTCCTGGGTTTAAGCGATTCTCCCGCCTCAGCCTCTTGAGTAGCTGGGATGACAGGTGCCCGCCTCCACGCCCGGCTATTTTCAGTAGAGATGGAGTTTCACCATGTTGGCCAGGCTGGTCTCAAACTCCTGACCTCAAGCAATCCGCCCGCCTTGGCCTCCCAAAGTGCTGGGATTACAGGTGTGAGCCACTGCGCCCGGCCAGAGAAAAGAAATTTTTAAAAAGGCTGCAATCAATGAGTCAAGCACGTATTTCCAGAGGTTAGATGAAGAACAAACCCAGATAAACTGAAAGCAAAGGAAGAACGGATATGTAGGTTAGTGAAACACAAGCTAAGAATGCTATGAGGAGGGTCAGCACGCGGCTAGCATCAGAAACGAGAAAGGAGATGCCACTTCAGGACAGCCACTTCCTCCCCGCTGTGCCCAGGACGTGGGTTCCGGACCCAAGGCTGTCTGGAGTCCTGGGAAAGCCCTGTCTCAAGACCCCCCAGCAAAGAGGGTCACCTGGTTACCCCACAGATCCTGCAGACATCCGAAAGACAGGAGAAGATATTGTGAACAACTTTTGCCAATAAACTTGAAAATTTAGATGTAATGGACAATTTCCTAGAAAAGTAGCATGAATCAAAACTCAAGCCCAGAGAAACGGAGTCTGAGGAGCCCCCAGCTCTGAGGGAACTGGGCTTCCTGTGCTGGGTTCCTCGTCCGGGAATCTGTGCACCGTGCTTCTCCATCAGCTGTGGGTCTGGATGCAGGAGATTCCGAGGAAGGGCACACCCCCCACCCCTAGAAGCAGTCACAGATACCCCCCAATTCATGTGTAATTTCTGGAGGCTTTGCACTCCACATGTCCGACTTGCTCACCCCAGAGACAGAGGCTGAGAGTTTCCAAGCCTGCCCCGTTAAGTCCAGTTCCAGCTCTGGGGCGGGGGGCATTCTGGGGTGGGGGGCATTCTGGGGTGCTGTGCAGAGGTTGCTGGGGGGCTTCCAGAGGAGGGGAGAGCAGCTGGGGCCGGAGGAAGAGGATGTCAGAGGGGCTCCTCCCGGCCTGGAGGCATGTTCACCGTCTGTCCATAGCCACCACCCCTAGTCACGGGGCAGGCTCCTGCATCCTCAAGTCACAGCCTTCTCCAGGCCCCGTGTTCTTCCAGGCTGTAGCTAGAGGGTGGAGGATCCCTACGGTTCTGCCACCCATCTGGACAGCTGATCTGGGCATGTGGCGCCCGCCTGCTGCCTGCTCACTCTGGGGTAATGGCATCAAGATCTCAATCACTACAGCGAAAATAACAGGTGTCGGGAGGGCGGGCAGAGCTGACCTCACTGGGGCCTGTGTAGCCTCCAGATGAGTTTC